TATGAAAGTTGTGAAATCTTTAGGCTGCTTGCATAAATAGCAAGTCATTGAAACTTTGATGAGAAAATTCCACTTTTTTCATGTCTCAGGTGGCAGCAATTTCAGCATTGCTACAGATTTGTCCCATTTGTTGCTAGAAAGCTTTCTTATGGTTGAATTTTTATTGCATTGTTCTTGACTGTGCAGTGTCGTCATGTCATATCTTTGAAAGGTTAAGGCCCAGATGCTGATATCTCCTTTAATTGCTGGTCCTTTAAAAATACATGGAATCCTATGGGGGAAAAAAGAGCTCATTAGCTTAAAGGCCTCTTTATCTTGCCTAAATAAGGATTGTGCATATGGGCCAAAGTCACTGCTTTAACCCATTTCTGAGCATTCCAAAGTGCTAAATTTGCACCAGGTTATGATTTATTTTGGGAGATTATTGTTCTGGTATTATTATTTCAGATTTTTTTTTATGCAGTACAATATCTCATGGAATTTTAGAAATATATGTTGGGAACGCATCCTCTTTTCCAGGCTTGTTGGCAAAGAATGAAGAAAAGTAAGAAAGTTATTTAATTATCTACGCATAGGAACAGGAAGAACATTCATACTGCAAAGATGTGGCACAAAAATGTAATATCCCCTCAAAGCATGGCAGATTTGAGGACTTAAAAACTTTACATATATTCTCACATTCATTGTTCCCTATTCCATATATTTTTGAAAGCTAATTTATACAACTTTATCTGACTTTATCATTACTTAATTTAAAAAAAGCATGCCTTATGTGTGAGGAATGCTCCCATCAGTAAAATTTCATCTTCCATCCTGACTGGTGCATTCAAAATGCTTGCCCTCACATTCTTGAATCTTTCAGCCCACTTGTTTATTTCCCTATCATTGATGCATATCACCACAATTAGCTAACTATCATGTATGAACTTTGGAGAGCATCAGGTCTGCATGAATCAAAAGTCAAATGACTGAGCACTGCCCTTCAATGCTAATTCTCAAGGGTACAGCCATGTTTGAAACTATAGCAAGCAAAACAGCAAGTTCTGTTGAAATTATTGCTGATGTATATTTAATGTTTATGTATGTGAGTGTTGTTTCATGCACACTACAAAAATTATTTAAAAGAAAATAAGTGTCCTTTTTACTTTCTCTCATACCATGTCCATTATGTCTGCATTATAGTATTATTCCATTTTGAATATCATGTTCCTTATGATATTGAGAGAAATAGTTATGACCTGGGGTCAGTTGCACTGCCTCATTTAAATCAGACTCCATTTAGTCTGACTTTGGAAGCATGGTAAACAGGCTCCCAAAGTCAAACTTTACATGAAAGTTTGACTTAACTGAGGTAGTGCAACTGGCCCCTGGTTAATACACCATTAAAAAAAAAAACAGCTGTGAAGTAGTGGACGGGATGATCCCTTCCATCTTTCCTCGATTGCCCTATCGAAATTCCTACATGAATCGTCATGATCGCATGATCGGTGCGTGGAATTTCAAGCATTAAAGGAGGAATGAGAGGGCAATATCCACTCAAGCTCAGCGGGAGTGCTCAATTTTTTCTTGGAATGGTGTATTTGATTTGGTTGTTGAGCTACTGATGAAACCGCCCCAGATTAGTCTAAGAAATTTTTTGCTAATTTGAGCCCTACTGTAGCATTCTGACGGACCGGCTGACGGGGGGGGGGGGGGGGGGGGGGGGGCAGAANGTGTTCCAAAGTATATGAATAAAACTGATGTTCATTCTGAGCTCCTTAGAATTGGCCAATTAAGCTGAAAATTGGTATACACTTAGATAAAACTTCCAAGTTTAACGTAGCATATTTACTTTTGTGAAATTTTGTTTAAGGAAAAGCAATTAAGGTTGTGGAAAACAAGATTCAGTTTTGATCAATTTAATTTTTTTAAACAATGAGATTAAAGCTGATAAACTTCAACATGCTGCTCATGAAAGGTTACAAACTCGCCCATTTGTTCTTGGATGGCGGAAAACACTCTCCTGAACGTGTTTTGGAAGTTTGGAACCTGTCAAATGTTCTGGCAGCAAAGACTAGCTTGTTCTCGGGCGTCCAGACTGGGGAATGGGGCATCTTGATTTGACAGTATCATTCAGGTGTCCCCAAGGGTCTAATGTTTTTCTCCAAAATGCTCCCAAACTTGTTGTAATTGGCGCTGATTGAATGGTTCGAGGTTGGGCTGATGACGTGTAAAGCTCTCAATATTTTTGAGAGGTGACCCGAGGACACGATTATTTGTCAATAAACTTGTGAGTGTCTTCAGACATCTCACATGCAGAACAAAAAAACTACAATTTTTGGGGAAAAAACTTCGGGGATCAAACACTTGTTGCCATTGATAGGCTAAACCCAGTAACATAAAAATTAACATGAAAACATATAAGTTTTATCTATGAGTCAGGCAAGTTTCAGCCTAATTGACCCATTCTGAGGAACTCAAAATGAGCATTAGTTTTACCCACATACAATGGCGGTTCGTGATATTTAGCGTTAGTGATTCGTTTATGGAGAGGGGATAAGCAGGGGAGGGCACTGCCTACCCCCTCCATTCACGAACCATTAACGCTAAATTTCACGAACAGCCACTGCACATATACAGTATATTGGAACACCCAGTATGAGAAAAGAGAGTGTTGTGGGAAAGGTAAGCAGCGTTTGCTCTGGGCTTTCGCCTTTTAATTTTAACATTTTGCGTTACATTANTTGGAACACCCAGTATGAGAAAAGAGAGTGTTGTGGGAAAGGTAAGCAGCGTTTGCTCTGGGCTTTCGCCTTTTAATTTTAACATTTTGCGTTACATTAAGGGTTAATCACGCAAAAATGAAAAGGAGGATTTTTTTTTCCGCGGTAAAACAAATCACAACTATCGGCGGAAGGCTTTGATTAAATGGTTGATGAAAGGGAGAAAGATGAATGGCGAGGAAGCTGCGTAGTTAACTTCGCTATCGCATTGGGACTCTCGTATCTGCGTTTCCGCCGCAGTCAACATGGCTCTTTGTTGATTGCAACGGGAAATTCGAAAGATTCGATAACGCGTCTCCCGACGCGATCGTGTTGACCTGATGCCCAGTGTAGGAAAAATATATTATTTACCCGCAAACCTGAGGTGACAAATCGGAATTCCTCGGAAAGGATATGCAAGCGGACTAAGTGGGCTGGGCCGGCCCAACCCGCCCGCGCGTCTCCGTTCCCGCAAACCTCGTCAGCTGGTTCTCAAGGGTTTTCCTAACCTGCGTGCCAACGTGATACTCCTATGGAGCTCTTACAAAGAAAAAGGCTGCAATGCGTCTCTATCCACGCATAGTCCCCGAAGACATTAAATTTCCTATTTTCAAGGCCTTTCTCGAATACTTTCTTCCTTGGAAAGAGACTGCGAAGGATTTTTAAGTTTTTATTATATGAAGAATGAGCAAGTATTTTTCTTATCTTGACATTATCAGGACGTGACTTTAGAAAGGGATACCGTACCACTTCATTATCCTTCTCTACTCCGGCTAAAAATTCTGGCAAACATTGTAAATGGCGGAGGATTTCTGTGAAGGGCTTTTCTACCTCATATCCCCAAACACGTTTATCTGAGGACAAATAAGGCGCATAGTAGGATTTCTTGTATGACACGGTCATAAAATTTTTGTGTCACTTTGTGACGTAATTTTTGTGTCGTAAGACAGTTATTTGGATATTCCCCTTAAATGTATCCACTGGCTGAGAAGGGTAGAGATCAGGAACAAGTCTTATTTTCATTCTTGTTGCGCTCGGCTAAGGGGGACACTAAACTGGTTTTGGTAACAGTTTCTGTCCGTTCCTTGAGGTTCATTCCTATCCCACCCAGAATTTCGTTTCAGTCGTGCTCCAGTCCGTTTCTCTCATCATGGAACAATAGTAATCCTGTTCCTGCAGCATACCCTGGGTGGGACGGATCCCGGAGCGAAACCCCCGAGGATATGAACATTTGCTAACCTTAACTTAAACTGACTAGCAGAAGACGACGAGAAGTCAAGTTTCAAAGAAAGTTCGCACGTTCGACATTTGACAATCACCCATCAGAATGAAGCTAGTGACAAGGAGTACGATATAATGGGTGAGTCATACAAACGATTTGGTTACTGTTTGGGTCGGTTCCACAGGAGTGACGTTTGCTCCCAGTCTCACATCTCCAGTCCCAGATCTCGCCCAATTCCGACATCTTGACCTAATATTTGTCTCATTCCTATTGGAATCCCAGAGTCGGGACAGGATGTAGGGGATTTCCATTGACTGGATGGGACCTACTATAGGTAAACTCTTACAGTATCTCCCTCTTTATTAGCATCTTCATTCAGTGGCGGGTACAGAAATTATTCATAGGGAGCGCTTCCCTAGTTCTCCTCTCTCCCCCCCCACCCCAACCCTTTATCCTACCGCCTTTTTCATTATGCATCTGCGATGGTGCCTGGAGATTCATTTCGCAGGCCCGATATAGAATTATTTAAAAAAATTAAAGACTGTGTATATTGTACTTAAAAAAATCGAATTATTTTAAAATATTTTGAAATAGTTTCTTTTGGGGGGGGGGGGGGGGGGGCAGGCAACCCCCCATTTCTTTTTCAAATGAGCAGCATCTATGGTCAGATGTTTCCAGCAAAGGTCTTGAAGGCACTTGAAAATATTAAACTGATATTTTTCCTAATTGGAAAAAAGGTTGACAGTGTAGTTGTGAAGTCTTTTATGATCGTAAAAATTAGCTCCTTTTGAGACTGAATATTTACAATAGAGTAAAATTAACTTTGCACCTGAGACTTTCAGCATCCTGGTGTGATGGAAAATATTCCTTGTGCAATGGTGTGATGAAGAATAAAATGTTAACTTGCTCTCCTAAAAAAAATGCTGAATTTCATATTTATCCTATCATGTTGAGCCAATTGCAATAAACATGTCCATATAGATTTAGTTAATATAGGCTATGATAGCCTAACTCACAATTCAGAGCATTGGGTCTATTTGTAATGGATTTGTTTAATTTCAGCAGGATTTACATGAGCACAGCAGATATAATGCAAAAATCATGTTCTTGTGGATGTGATTGATGGCTGTGATCGAGATGGTGAGAGGCTCCTTGCGTCCAGGAAATGGCAGATCGCCTCCCTTTGTGATAATTGGCCTTGTTATCATTATTGGCATCCTTGGCTTCAATTATTGGGGCCTTTCCACACTCAATGCGGACCTCGTCAGTCAGGTCAAGAAGTTTGAGAAGGATATCCTGAAATGGTAAGTTAAATTTGATAAACAGGGTCTCTTGATCTCCTTGAGGGTTCTCAGAGTGCCTCTGATTAATCAAGATCTGTTTTTATGTGATGGGTTTGCAGTAGCAAAACAAAATTAGTTACAAAGATATGTGGCAAATGAGTGGCTTTGGTAAACTATGGAGGAAGAAGGGTGAAAGTGTCTTTAGAAAAAGAGTTATTGAATATTGAATGTCGAATGTCATAATAATAGGAGTAACAGCAGTTCAACAAGAAAAACAAATCAACAAACTAAACAAACAAAACAAAAACAAATAGAATGGGAAAAGGCCCCCCCCCCTTTTCAAAGGCTTGTTGTAGAGATGAAACATGACAAGTTGAGATGAGGAATGACTAGAGAGTCAGTAACAGTAGAAGAGAGTTCTTTCGGAGTGACAGCAGCTTCAGATAGACAGTCTGTGGTTAGCCCAGCAAGCCAGTCAGGGTGTCTAGAGGAAGTCGGGTAGTCTGGGGCAAGTCAGCCAAAGGAGAGAGCCATGAGCAGTCTGGGGTAAGTCCTTTTATGCCCTGCTGCTGGGGGATGGGGGCAAGGAGGAGGAGGAGAAAGTGAAAGGCACAAGTCATAGCCTGGATGCATGACTGTATCACTCCCACCAAGTCCATATGCATGCCAATGCTGACCAAGTAGCATCATGTACATTTGTTGAATTTAGCAAGGCCTTTAAAAATGTATATTTAGCACTTTACAAAGAAGGTCCATTGAAAAGATAAGGGAAAAGTTTTCAAGGTGGACCTTTTTTTTTTTAATAAAGTGCTGAATATACATCTTATAAGTCTATGACTGCTCCCATCTCTCTCTTTTTAAAAATGTCAATTCCTGAACAAGAGATCCCAGCATCCAGGATACAATGCTCTCATTGATTCCATCCTACTTGCATGTGGCATCTGTCTAGGCATGGTGTTAGGGCCTTCAATATTCTCAGTAATGGGCATTGATATTGTGCAAGGCCATGTCCAGATACTGAATTATCTTGATAACAAAACCATAGTTGCAACTCCAGCAACCCAAGAACTCTGACCTCCAGCTCATTCTTCTTGCAGCAAGAGAAATGGTCCTTTGCCAACAACATGAAACTATTCCAAACAAGTCTAGTTAGTCTTGCAATCCCCCTTCATAACTCTACTCATCTGTCATAACCTTAACATTGAAGGCCATGTTTTTGGTGAGAGAGATCTGTATTCCCTTTTTGAGTGTGTGGATGCAAGTCATCCTCCTGGAATAAAAATAATTGGATGATCATAACTAGAGTTGTTATAGATGAGGAATTTTCACTGATATCCATCTAGAAGGATCTGATATAACCAATAACCATGATGAATGTCTTGAAGAGTCCAGTGTTTTAATCCCATGGGACTGGAAGGCATACTGATTATAGACTAACCTGCATGGAAGGGAAATAGAATGTGTTGAGCCTTCATATAAATTTTTTTTGTTTTGAAGTCTGATCAAACACAAAGAAGTGGAAGAAGTGTGTTTAGAGATCATATCTGAAAGTTGACATTGCATTTCCTCTTGTGCATTTCCCAGAATCCTCAGAATGAATCTTTGGGTGAGAGCTACAGTTGATTCATAGGCCATATAAAGACAAAAGAATGAGACTTGAGTGCTGATACTCCTAAGTTAACTGCCATTTTAGGAACCATTGACTCTTATGGAGGAAAAATAACTCTTTAGCTTAAAGACCCCTTTATCTCTCTTAGATAAGGCTTCAACATTCAGGCCTTGTGGAAGTAAGAAGAGTGCACATGTGCAAACACCAGAATGATACTGATATGAGATAGTGGATTGTCTAAGGAAAGGAGATGTTCAGTCTGCAGCAAAGGGAGTGTTTATTAATTGTCTCTGAAGGGATACAGGCAGGGTGAGCAGTAAGCATAGAAGTGGTGGTGGGAAAGAGGTAGAGATGCACATGGGTCTTGAGCATGGTCAACCTAAGGAGTCTATAGAGTATTGCAGGGTGCATTTTGCTCACTCAACCTAATTCTGCATTCTGACTGGATCATTGTGAAATTTCCCATGGGGACAGTTGTGCATGCACACACCTGGTGCTGGACTCATCCGTTCTCAGTGGTGATCACAGGTATCCTTTACAGTGCATCCCTCCCATGGTTTTCCATCTCCTTAGATATTCCCATCTCCTTCCACTCACTATCAGGCCAACTGCCCCATGGTTGGAGAATTAAAAATATGTTTGAAGCCCTTGGATTCTTGGCTTTTTCTTTCAGAGCATCCCATATATGTAGTCATAGAAGTTGGCACCTATTAATGCTCTATATCCTTGTACCTAAATTTGTAGAAAATGAGGTGCTATTGAGTGGGTAACAACAGAACTGAAAACCAAAGTTTGATGAACTGTGCCACTATGACCCTACTTCAAACTACCCATGTCTACTCTGTCAAAAAAATTTTCCAAATTAGCAAGTATTTCAGGTGAAATGCATTTCATCTTGAAGATTCTGAATGTCCCTGTTTGGTGATGTACATTGCAGTTCCGAGGAGCAAAAGTTGCTTAATGATGACACAGAATCACTAAGGATGGCAGTGCAGAAGTCAAGAGACAATAACAAAGAACTGGAAGACATCAAGGAGCAACATGTTGCAGAAATAGCTGATCTCAAGTCACAAATAAAGACAGTTGAGGAGAAGCTGGTGAGTAATGTGTGAGTTTTTGCTCAGGTTCCCTCATGCTTCCATTACTGGTTTTTTTAAAAGAAAAAGTGCATTTTGGAATGTCATAGGATGAAAGTACAGTTGCCTTGGATGAGAAAGTGAAATTAGAGGCTGAGTTGGAGAAGCAGTTGAAGCAACTCAAGGAAGAGAATACTCAACTGCATCAAGAACTTAATTCTGAGAGGCTAAAGGCCCAGGAATTAGCCAGTGCAAGGCAGGAAGCCATTCACAAGCAGGATCCAATCAAGTATTCCCATGGGAATAAGTTACCATTCCTTGCTAGGGGTGAGTCATAACATCTCTTTCTTGATTTTATACTCCTATAAAGTTCCCTGCTCATGGTCCATGATTCATGGAATTTGATGCATCAGAGGAATTCTCTGACAATGGATATGACAAATTGATACTTTCAGGCTTATATGGTTTCAATCAGAAGTATTCCACTGTGAATGACTTGCCATCAAGGACTACCTTCAGTGATAATTGATTAAAAACAAAATGTATCTATAGTTCTAGGGGCTTATTATTATTAGCCTATTCTGTGTCTGGTGTGACACTGAAAATGACACTTCTTTAGTATCTGTATTGGTCTGTTGCAATTCCCTGTGTAACAGCATGGTTGGTCAAATTCAGTCAACACTTTTTTTTGTAGATGCAGGGGGGAGGGGTTCTCTTTCACATCAATTTTCTATTAGGTTCTAAACTTTAGCTGTTGCAGCTGATCTACCTCTTGTATCTGTTTCATTTGTTTTTCACTAATCATTTTATCTGTTACCATCATTACATTTCATTCCCATGATAAAAGGATTCAATTTTTGGTTGTTTTGCAAAACTATGAACTACAAAGTCAAATTATAAAGGGAAAAATAGGCATTCAGGGGAAGATTTGGGGGTAGATTAAAATGATTAATTTTGAATAATTTTTAAAATTGCGATTAATACTTTAATAGATTAATTGGTCAATTAATCTATTCTAATTGACAGCCCTACTTCTTAGCCCTTTTCCCTACCTGGGAAGTGACAGCCTGGGCCTATGCATATTGTGATTGGTGATTACCTGGGAAAGAAAACACTGAGCATTCAAGACCCTCATGTAGTGATATTTAACTCTGAATGTAGTATCCCTTAACCTCATCTAATATGTTGAATTTTCCAGAAGTGTCTGAACAGAATGATTGACAAACAAAAATAGCAATGGAGGCTACTTGCATAGATCAAGAAATATGTCAGGTGGTTGTCAGTGGTGAGTTAGGTCTGTTCTGGTTATACCTGCATGGATTATTATTAAAGATTGACCAATACTGGATTTTACAGAATCTGATATTGGCTTATATCTGGATCCAATAACCGCTACAATATTTGCCAATATTTTGGCATTAAACCATATTGAAGGTTCATCAGCACAGTTTTGTTTATTCCAAATTCTTCCTGATAACTGCAACTTTTCAGCATTTTCCTGATGTTCCTGTATTGGAACATCTCTTGAAATACTCCTACAAGATACTGGCCAGCATGATATCTTTCAAGAGGACAGGCAGAAGTACTGAATGTCATTTTCACTCTTGTGAATTCAATGTACTGTTAGACTCATCATGTATTCATTGCAATTTGTCTAACAGCCTTTCGTGAAGTGCAAAAATTGACCTACTTTGTTAATGTCTTTTTACATAATGCACATCACTTCCTCGTGGATCTCTTGTATGAAGTGTTGTTTGATAGTAATTCTTCAGTTCTTGAGCATACATTGGTTGTAATTCAGAAATCCACTTCTTATTCCATTGTTCACCACCATGTAGGGGGGTCATGACTTCTATTGCTATAAGGATCAACTTGTTGGCTTTTATTGACCTGGGATCAGAGGGACTCGACTTTTTCAGATCATCCAGTGTTGACTGTTGCAGTTCTAGTGGTGATGGATCTGAAGCAAGTCTTGAGCCTAAACATACTAAAATCACCTATTGGTCTTGCTTTCCACTTGATTAGCTTGCAGGCTGCTTTTGAATTACCTTATGTTCCTCCCATCTTTGCTTGCATTTCTCATTTTCATCATGGATGATGATTGCAATGATGATTCCATAGATTTGAGGTATTCCTCTCTTTGGCAGCTGATGGTCATGTACCTTTGCATGACAATGAATAGTTGCTTAAAATCTTTATCAACTTGAAAGAATTTCCACACCTCACTTTTTAACCTGAACAGGAAGGGCTTCCCACTGATCTCAACCATATTCCAAATCCGAATTCCTTTTCAAAAAAATATAATCCTTAGGAGCCAAAGCCTACATCATGCCTACAATGACTGATATCATTATTGATGTTATTAGGGATCTAGCCAGGAAATTTCTGAAACTGGGCAAAACCCCATCATGGATGAATTCTGGTGTAGCAACAACTCCATTTCAACTTGTTCTGTCCTGTCTTGTTCTCTCTCCCCCCCCCCTGCCTCCAGTCCCATTTTTCCCCATTCATTCATTTGAAATGACGAACCGTGTCTGAGACACTCTGGAAATGGTTATCTAACAGACTGGATTAGCGATTGGTAAAATTTTAAATATGGTTGCTTGATCACTTTCAAGTAACCTAGTATCAACGTCTGCATCACGAATATGGTTCTCCTCAATTCTCTTTCCCTAGTAGAAATTTGCAGGTAACTGAGGGATCGCATAATTGATGAGTAATAGAACAAAGACCTGCGAGAGGGGGAAAGGAAAGAGCAGTTGACAACTGTTTTTTTTTTCCCCTTCGTTTCATAATGTGCACCTGAAAATGGTTGACATTTTCCTTCAGAATTCACTGAAAAGTTGAGGACAAAAAGAAAAACTTTTCTCTCCAATAAAATGGGGATGTGATGTTCAGGGTCTGTGTATCGCACACCTCGTGTTTCTCGCTGTCCTTTCCTCCTGTTTCCAGCATCCTACAATCCCTTCACTCAAAATCAGACTTTTTTTTAAAATTATTTTTCCTATCACTCTAGTGTCATGCCTGCTTGGACAGTTGGCTTGTTTTCTGAATCCTCCCAACTGTCAGGAATCCTGAACTGATATGTGCTTGGCCGCTCGTGCCAATGCCAGTCATTTCAAACCACTGTCACCTAGGAATGGCATTCCTAATCTCAGCAGTTACTGCCAAAATATAGTAACACCAAGTATTTGAGCTATAATTATTTTGATAAAGCAACCAGACACCAAACTTTTCCTCATCAGAGACAAGAATCTGTTTGAGTGTCAAGGTCTTTGGGTGACTCTACAGAATAAAAACTAGCAATCAGCTCAAACTGAATGTGCATGTATTGTTGCACGAAGAGGATATATATGCGACTGTGTCACATATGTTGCTCTGTGGTGATGATGGAGGTAACAATGTATCGCTTTTCAATGGAGTTCAGACTTGAACAGATTTGATTAAGAAGGCAGATTGGATCTCTCTCATTCTTTTAAATTACATGATGTAGAGAATGATATTTATGGAGTCAGTGTTTGTCTCTTGCCTTATGTGTTCCAATACCAAATTTCATGGATTTCTCAACTTCTACTTGGCATCATGATTTTTTTTAGATCAATTGCTATCAAGTGAGCATTAGCCAAGAGGAAGACGAAACATTTTAAAATCTGCAGTGCCATTGAAATTCCCATAGCCATGAATATGCCTAACCAATATGTGCAAGATCAAGAACAGAAGCAGTGCGAAAGATTCATGGTTCCTTGCCCCTGTTAATGTCGTATTGGCCAGATCACTCAAGCCAGGGTCTCCATATGGGCATGGAAAAGCTAGTCCTAGTCATATTTTCTTGTACTAGATTCATGATATCAGTCAAAATCAGAATGCATGAAAGAGCTAACAAGAATACTTGCTGATATATGCACATATCAGCAGATTTATGTCAGCAAATGATACATATGTCGATCTCTAACAATTATTCCACTTTAGCATACCAACATGTCCTGGGGCCCAGGTTTTTTTTTGTCACTCTCTTAGAGAATCAATTTGCTTATTGCTACTCTCTTTGTAGATCAAAAATTGTTTTATTTAGGATCATGCAAATTCACTGCAACTCTTTTCAAGTCTCAAATTAGAATATAGCAATAGTGACTATATGTATATACTGCTATGTCCATTAAGTACAGGTATTGATGCTGCTACAGTACACAGGTTGTGTCACCCAATTATACAGAGCTCAATAATAATTGTAGCTCAATAATAATATAAAAATTTGATATACCTTGAGTTGAACTAATTTATAATGTGCAGCACCAAGTTTCTAGAATCACAATGTCTCTGATAAATCAATGGAGTTGAAAAAGAACTGCAATGGATGTGACAGCTTCTAGTGACTACCTTCCTTCTGCAGTCTCAGTCTGATTGGTTCACCATTCCAGATGATGAGGGGACCCAACTGAGTAGTGTCTCAAGTGAGGATTTCATTCATCTGAGCAAGAAATGATCCCATTGGGTCATGTAGTGCTCTATTAACTAAAACATGGAAGCCATTAAGTTCATTATTATTTAAGTACAACTTTTGTCCTGGTAAAACAGGACCCCTGAAAGTGATGGACATACTTGACTGGCAGACAATCTATGCTTATACAATCTTCCAAATGAGATCACTTGCCAGGTTTCACACCAGAAGGAATTATTTTTGTCATGCCTGTTTTTTTTGGGTGGGGGGGGGGGGGGGGGGGGGGATGTTATGTGGATGGTCTACCCTTCCAGTAAACATAGTTTCAAAACAGGTACAGCAGCTCAAAGGGGGGGGGGAGGAATTGTCCTGCACCATATTTTCATGAAACTCAAGGGGAAGGACATGTTTCTTATGAAGTTTCCTGCTGCCATCCTGGGTTCAGGTTCATTAGGGTCCAGTATTTAGGATCATTAAAGTTCTTTTAAATCAAGACTTCAAAGAAGTGAATCAAAGAAAGTGTAGATTTTATTAATTGAATCAGCAATTAAACTTGGAAACCTGCAATACATGCTCCATATTAAGGATTTATTGAGTTTAAATAGTTTTCCATTGCTATGGAATTTTTGTCCTTTCAAAGCTGAGTCTTTATAACTTGTTCCATAATGACCAATACAGTGCTCTGACCAATGCTTATATCAGATGGAGACCCATGAGCCTCATCTTTAAATTTGAAAGGAATTAATTGAATGAGATGCGTGATGGCCTCAATGGGTGAAATGGGCTGAAGACTGAAAAAGTTGACTGCTGCTCTCCCTCTTCATAGAACATAGGCTGTGTAGCTCTGTTCATAGGACTTTCTCTCTGTCAAGTCAGAGTTTTTCATGAAATCATGAAACCATTATGATAAAGGCCTGTTAATTTTTGTTGAAGTCTGTTCAGCTGATGAACTAGGTGGCAAGCAAGAATAATAGTGAATATCACAATAAGTGTCATGGTAGACATTGAAGAAACACTTGGACATTAGACAGCATGGTTGAAAGGGTTGCTTATTCTAATTCTGATGTTTCAAATTTATCAGAAATCAATTAGGGGAAAAAGGTGAGTATCATGAACCTAAGCATGTATATATGGTGCTTCAGAGAAGACTGACACATTTGAAATTTACGAGAAAAACTTGTTTGCTCATTATTCTTTTTTTTTTTTTTTTAATGCCCATGGACAATGCAAAAGGATCAAGATGAATGTGAACAGCATGTGCACCAAAAACCAGAACAGCAGTAGCAATGGTAATTCAGCACAGCCCGTCCAAGTCAGTTTGTCTCCTCTTGCAGGAAGTTGGAACCAGCCCTACAGAATATAGACACACTGAATTTTGCAAAAAACAGTTCCACAATCTTTGTGCAAAATCTACTTCCAATGTTTCCTTGGCAGATAAAACGTCAAACCTTTGAGAATATTAACCTACCAAGTTAATGAGAATTACCAGCAAAAACATTTCTCTTGTAAATTTCAAACATGTCAGTCTTCTCTGATGCACCTTGTTCATAAGGCAAAAATGACAGGCATGCCAATGAATTGTGATGTTATATTGATGACACTTGTCCTGGCCCACTTCACTTGTCTCCATGTCCTTCTTGGGAAATGAAATTTTTTTGCCTCAGGTTCATTATAAAGGAAATTGTTCTTAATGCACTGTGCAACACTCCAGTGGAGTAGAGGCAATTCTCCCTTTGTTGAACGTTGTACCTTGCCCTTTTTCTTTTATTATCTAGCTTATGACAGGAGAATATATGATAAGAGATTCAAGTCTTGAATTCCTCACATCTAATTCTCAGGTCAAATTCAGAATGGTCATGTCTGGCCTAAATTTAATCAGGCATCTCATTATTTTGTGGAGCATGTGAGCTTGAATCACAAGTCTTGTATTTCATGGCTTATTCTCAGTGCATATTGAATCACCAAGTAGATTTCAACAATCTCTGGGGTACCAACCCCAAGGGGGGTGTATTTTGCAGTAGGAGAACATATATGTAACTGATTGATTCGTGGTTATATATTTCATAATCATGACAAGTCTGGTATCCGGCTCATTTATGTGTTGGTTATAAAAGTGTAACAGATTAGCCAGAAGGTTATTGCCAAGGTCATACAGTATAAAACCAGAACTGTTGTCATTGCCAAGAATTGAAAATAAAAGTTCATTCTCAAAGGAAATATTGACCTGGCCTGCAAAATCCTTATTTGCCCATGTGCCAGTGGGGAAAATGTTTTGCGGTTTTGTGTGTGAAAAATCACACCAAGAAGCACTCCTACCACTTCATTCAGCAAGTTTTTGACCATTAACGCCACTCCTTTCGTTTTTCCGTCTACAGTCCCTCCCCCTTATATGAGCTTCTGTCTCACAGGAATGTCCTTTGGAATACCTGCGACATTTCTTCTGGCAGACCTGTGCATAAAGTGCATTTTTTTACCTTGGGAAGGGCAGGGCTAAGGAAAAGTTTACCTGGATAGTGAAAGGTGAAAAAAAAGCTTTATGTCTGTTCTAGACACATAGACCAAGAAATAAATGAAAACCAATTCCCTTACCCACTGGAATGTCTCTTAGGTTTGGGTCAGTACTGGAAGTTACTTTTAATTTAGCCATAATTTACCGGGGGCAGTCCACAAATTTTTAAATTGATTTTATATATTGGAAACTAATAAATGCAGGAAGTTGAAACTTGGTGGGAATATTGTACCACACCATGAAATTCTCTTTAGTATTGAGATTCCTCTCTAGGGTGCAATACTCTAGTTTCTATGTGGTGGAGTATCATGACATAATGTACAGGCAGAAAGTGGTTTTAAAAAATTAATTACACGATAGAACATGGATGATTTTGGCATCCATAGTCAACTACAAGCAATGTACTGCATGTCTGAGATGAGTGTCTTATGGTAGGTTTTACACTTTGAGGATGATGAGCAAAACATCAAAGATTGTGTTTGAACAGAGTGGCCTGCCTGGCCATTGCTGATAACTTTTTTTTTTTACAGACTTTAAAAGCACCATAGCTAATATTTCAGATACAGTGAAAACTTGTTAACTCGAATCCTGATAAGTCGAAATTCTGCTTATCTCGAAGTTCAATGCTTGGTCCCGGTGGAACCCCAAAGGACACCATGTTAAAAGCTCCGTTTAACTCGAATTCACTTATCTCGAATTTCTGGAGATCTTGAATGAGATTTTCACTCCCTATAACAATTTTCTCACGATTAACTCAAATTCATGGTGAGAAGGGGGGAAAAATTCTTCTTGTGAGGCTTTTCAATTTGTGGATAGAATGAATGACAAGAAACCCTTTCGGGAGGATGCTCTTTTGTTTATTTTTTTGTTCTGCTTCTCCCTCCTCCCACACAGACACCTGTGGAGAGGATTAAACCTGAGAGCTAAAACCGAAAAGCTTCGGCTATAAAAAAGCCTCCAACATTCGCTCCGTCAATCTATCGCTCTCACTCTGAGCCATTCTGTCCCCTATGTCCCTTAACGAGTTTTTTTTTAGGGGGGGGGGCGATTCCTGATAACTCAAACTTTGGATAACTTGAAACGATTTGCCCGGTCCCTAAAATTTCAAGTTAACGAGTTTTCACTATATTTTTTAAAAGAGGAATGAAGGTCTGCCCCCCTTTGAGCTGCTGTACCTGTTTTGAAACTATGTTTACTGGAAGGGTAGACCATCCACAGACTTCTTCAAATGTCTTGTTAAATATAGAGGCATCATCACCTTTTCTCACTTTTTTTATTTATTAAAAAAGGGTTTGAAATACCAGTCAGGCCCCCAGGTTTTTATTTTTTAAATCCATCTTCAAACACACATTTTGGTTTCATCCAAAATCTGCCAGATTAGAACCATGTTTTCCTTGTTCTTCAATCTATGAAACCTCAGAAAGAAGTGCATTCTAGGTTCTTATACTCCAGTCAAACCCAGGGCTAGGTAGATACTGAAATATTTGACAAATCAACCATGGCATCTTTTGTGGACCTTTGGTTGCCCTGCCTTCTCCAGCTGATACTCACACCCCCTGGTTTCTGTTTGGAATCCTTCACCCAAGTCCCCCTTCTTTTATCCTCTAGGTTTGGCAACCAAAGGCCACTTGCCCACTCTGTCAGCAGGAATGGTGAATCACTTCAACATGGGATTGGTGGGGCTCCTAGGGCACAATGCTCCTATCATTCCCTACGACCCACCTGATGCCATCCGTAACAAGCCACGATTCAGTGTTGTAGATCCACCTAAACAGAAACTCCCTGCATGATTGAAGGAGATTTGTGCAAGATAGTAGTGCCTTTTCTGTGATATTGGTTTTGGATCTTGTATATAATGGGAATTTTTGGTGTCCGAACCTGAACAATGGACCTTCTATGTGGCATCGAATTGGTCTTGTGAATGACTGGTGCCTTTATTGTGACCAAGGTGGTTGTTGACAGTTTATTACAGGCAAGACATTGCATTTGCACAGCTAGAAACTTGTTTACAAGGATGAATGCTTAGTGAAAAAATACATAGGAAGGAATATTGGTTCTAGAGATCCTGATGGGAAAGGGAAGAGGGGAAGGAGTCACAGTCATTCTTGATGTTTTTCTGAGCCGCATAATTTATTTTTATAAACTAGAATCATTGTGATAATGGCTCTGGAATTCATAAAAAAAAATCCAGAGACCTGGAAAACTGCACTAGAATAAGTATATTTCCACAATAGAGATACTTAATGACAAGAAAAGAGCATGATGCCATGAGCTAAAAGGCTACAATGGTAATGCAGTTTGTAATATAATTACAAGAATGGCTTTTATTCCTGATATAGCTACTTATTCATGAACTATGATTGATGACAGATGTATTTTAGGACTTTCATCCAGGGATTCTGCCAAGGCCTTGTTTGGCTTGAGATGTCAGCATTTGAATTCATTCCAGTCCCTGCAATGACCTTGGGACAAGAAGAGTGTAATGATCTGTGTTTGGGACAAAACTGCATTTAGAACAAAATTTAATGCAACTCCATATCTGCTATCTGTTGTCCTGCAAAGGTAAATGCCAAGTACCATTTTGTGAAATTCAAATCATTCCCAAATTTTTACTCTGCCTTTGAGACTATTGAATATTAAATTGAAATGGTTTCATGCCAAAACATCAAAATGACAGTACATCAACCAAGACTCTCAGAGGTTCAGACCACAATAGTGCCATAGGTAGCAATAATATTGTTTATGCTGTTGTAGTTTGTCTTCAAAGAGTTGTTCACCACTGCATCATATATAAAATATCTATAAGCAAGGATCTCTGTCTCTGTCCATCTGACGCTATGCATTCGGACACCGTTGGAGATATCGACCTGAAACCTTCGCAGGAGGGTGGGGTCTGTCCAGTA